AAGGTTTATGTCATTGCCACCAATTTCATGTGTGTAAGATGCTGAGGACTGAACCCAAGGCCTCGCGCATACTAGGCAAGAACTCTACCACTGAGCCACAGTTGCAGCCTAGAAATAGTATAGTAGCTAAAGGCATGGGGGTGTGTGTATGCAGATAAGATTTAAAAAACAAAAATTAATTTCAGATATGAATGAAAGGTCTAGAATGGGGCCAAGCTTTTACTTTAACTGTGCTTTAGGTGCCACAATGGGAGAAATCCAGAAAAATTTGAGTGGACAAGAGAGGAAAGCTTCTTGTCAGGGGCATGGAGATAAACTGAACTTCGGCTTTGAAAAACAAAGGTTCGGGCTCACCTAAAATCTTCACAAATTTCCCTTCCAGGAGACATCTCTTGTTTGTAGAAGAGAAAGGAGAAAACAGACACCCCTCACCTCTGGCCTCTCAACACTGGTTTGTCAGGTGGAGGCCAGAGTGTGTGTGTGTTGGGGGTGAGTGGGCATAGAAATATTCTAAATTCAGGAGCCAGTATAGGGATGTGTCATTTTAGGGTAGGGGTAGGGGAGAGGAGCAAAAATACTCTTAAATGTCCTAGGCAATCTATAGGCCCCTATGTACAACTAAGCCCCACTTTTCTGTAAAATTTCAAAACAACCCTTCACTAATCTCTACTGGATGCTGTCCATATTTTCCTATCCATTCTATATTAACTATCCCAAGAAAAATGTATCGGTGTCAAGTCTTCTCTTTTCTGCAAAGGACTGGAGTATTTCCCAAACATAAGGAGATACACTGGGGATAAGGAAGTCAATTTGCTGGAATATTTGATTTTCTATGAACCTACGCACATCCAGGATAAACTGGTTTAGCCAACACCCTTTTGAGTCAAACACACAAAAAAGTACTACCTATTTGTTTCTCAGTTGGCACAGCAGAACTCATTAGCCCCTCCACCCACACCTGTACTCTCAACTTTTGACTCTTGTTTAGGTGAGAACAAAGAGAAAGTTCTGGGAAAAAAATGGAGGAGGGCTGGCATTGTGGCTCAGTGGCAGAGCGCTGACCTCGCGTGTGGCTCTGGGTTCGATCCTCAGCACCACACATAAAGGTATCGTGTCCTTGGGGCTGGGGATGTGGCTCAAGCGGTAGCGCGCTCGCCTGGTATGCGTGCGGCCCGGGTTCGATCCTCAGCACCACGTACCAACAAAGGTGTTGTGTATGTCGAGAACTAGAAAATAAATATTAAAAAAAAAAAAAAGGTATCGTGTCCAACTACAACTAAAAAACAAAATATYGGGAAAAAAAATGGAGAAGCTAGGGATATAGCTTAGTGGTAGAACAAGAGCCTAGCAAGCGTGAGGTCCTCCTGGGCTCAATCCTCAGCAACAACAAAACCAAACCACCTATGGGAACTGACAGTAAATCTCTATATGGATCTCATCCTTTCCTCCTTTCCCCAAACTTTCCACAAGACTAAGCAAGGGAGTTGTCTGAAGTAGGTCTCCAGTTCACATCACACCTACTCCTTTCCTTCACAGCAAAGGTGCCCCTCGGGGCTGAGGGGTAGAGCACTGGCCTGGCATGCGTGAGTTCAATTCTCAGCACCACATGTAAATATACACTGACAACTGAAAAATGCCTTTTAAAGAAAAGTATCTGTCCTACTGGTGACCCTCTAGCAGCCTTGTTAGCGCAGCAGCTGATCAGGCTCGGCTGCAGTTACTCATAAGCAAGTATGAGACACCCCAATACCCACCTGATGTGGATTATGACTACACAAGGTAACTCATCCCTTCTGTGTAAGATAGGCTTACCTACAGTGATTTAGGGGGAGGAAGTTATGAGTTTTCAACAATGTACCCAGAAAGGCCAATGAGGAAGTCTCAAGGCTGTGACTTTCTTAAGGGACAGAGAAAATAAGGTGGGCAAGACCACTTTCCAGGAAGGCATAGGAAGAAGGGGTGAGCTACATTCCAGAGGCAGCCAGCACAGAGGTGCACTGTACTTGCTGGGTGTGTGCCTAGGCTGTTGCTATTTCAGAAGTGTCTTGGGGCACATATATGTAGCTTCACGTAATCAAGCCTGCTATTTAGAGCCTTCTACCCTGCCCGTGACCCATATGCAGTGACCAGCCCTCTTCACCACCCCTTAAAGCCAACATTCCATTATTAAGCCTCACTGGGTTATGATAAGAAGGAATGGGGTGAGAGAGGAGAGTTAAGTTAGGATTCTGCGTGACAGGTTGCCAATACGCAATAAGGGTAGACCGTGGGGAAAGAACTGGCCAGAAGAATCCTTACCACACCCTCCCCACAATTCTGTGCCTGCTTTAAAATTCTTCTTGGCTCACAATTGTACAACTTTTGGAAGACACACAATATCTAAACAGTATATATCCCACTTCATCACCAACCACTTCCTGAACATCTTGGTCTCACCCCACCCATTATACAATCATACCAAGGATCAAACAAAACTCACAAGGCCATGAAGATCTGAGGCTCAGATAGCCTTTAGGGATAATAACCACAGAAGTCAAAGGGGACAGCTGGACTAGATCAATGTGAGGGGAAAAGTCAACCACACAACAAAGAAAGCTATATTTTATTAAACTGGAAAATAAAATATCGGGGACAAAGATTTTTTTTTTAAAGGAATGGTTAGAAGAAAGTGTAAGTGGTCATGAGGGAGGAATGAGACGGATGGTCTGTGGCCACTCTGTGGTGCCTTAGAAATGTGTGAGCACACAGGCTACTCACTGCCCCTTCTCCACATACCCTTAGACCAAAAGCCAATACAACTGCATCTTCAGAGATACATCCAGGATTTTCTTTCTGTATTCTGTAGCTGGTTTCACCTTCAGCCCTGAACAGTCATGTTGGATCTTTGCTGGAGAAAATTTTGATTTTCCAACCACAGGTTTGCTCCTCAAAGCAGCAGTTTCAGCTCCTGGAGAAGTTCCCTCCTATTTGGACTCACCAGAGAAGCCAGGGGCCCTCGAACAAAGCCCCAATCTCAAAGAAAAATGTCAAACCTTTAGAACTAGTTATTTTATTAAATGATATCAATACACATTTCAAAAGGATTTCATTGTTGTTGCCTCTAAAGCATGTACTTATTTTGTTTTCCACACTGAACACGTGAGAATATCACCAACATATCTAATTTTAATCTTAACAGGCACCCCCACCAATTTAAAAAAAAGGGGGGGATGGAAGAAGGGAAGCAGTAATTTACAGCGGCTTCAAAACAGTAACAGCTGAAGCTTAACTGTGTGAACAGGTAACTTCAGGACTGATAGTGAATATTCTGCAATTGGGAAGTTTAGCATATTCACATTATCTAGATAGGTTTGCTGTACCATATATACCACATTGTTTTCCTGGTATCAGGATAAAAATCCTACTTTGGAATCGACCTTCCCTGGAATCAACAAAATTCTATTTCCCTTGACTCTTGGGCAGGCAGAGGGAAGCAGGGAGGGAGCTCTCATGTTAGCTGGCTGAAGAGTGAATCCTTACAAAATACTTAAGGACCCTACTTCTGACACGTATCACTAAAGTGGTACTAGTGTATTCACTAGAATTCTTTGTCTGTGATTTTACAGTGAGCACCAGGACCTCAGTAATAATTTCTCATATTCTGCTTTCATATGAGTCATGTCCTTGCTAAGACACAGTATTTAAAAAATATCTTGTTTATTTTTTAAACTCAGGTTGAAATACAAAAGTCAGAGCATGGTCTTGGAGTTTTAAATCACAGACACAGAAAGAATAAAACCCCTTTGTCTCATGTTTATGAATACCAGAAAGTGTCTTTTTTTGTTTCACTATATCACATATATACATTGTTGTCTTCATTTACTGCTGTAGCGATTTCCTTAAAATTAATAGCTGACAGTCTCATACAAATCCTCATTTCCATCCTGAAACAAATGTACTGAGGACTCTGTGGCAAATGAACAAAAACATCCCACAAAAACCCAAACCCTTAAAAGTCCAACTTTGAATTGTACAATGTCTTCCTTTCAAGGATCAGCCATCATGTTTTTGAGGACAATTACCCTGCCCCAATACTCAGGAAGCCACTTTCCTGACATCCCCACGTTTTCTGATAAAATCAAATGGTCAGAGAGCCTTTTCAAGTAAACACTACATTAGCTTAAACAAGAGCAGCAGAAATAATTCACATTTTTTAAAATTCTAGAATAAAAAAAATCCCACTTAATTTCTGCAAAAAAAAAAAAAATCAATTCTCAGACAGAATTTCCCTTACCTCCACCCCCATTCAGTTATGCTTTTTCACAAAACAAATGCCTTAGGACTCAAAATAACTATGCTTCCTTTGCTTTGCTATACTATATACCCCATCCCACACACAAGGTCATGGTATCATGCATTTTTGTGGAGACAGCTACASGGCAAAGAGGCTTGAGGGTCAAAGAAACAAAGAACAGATGGCTCAAGACCAGACACGCATTAGGAAGATGAATGAGCTGACGCATGCTAACCACAGAACACAAGGTGAACCCAAATAAATAACGTGGAAAACATCACATAAAAACTCCCCAGCTATGATGGACACCTGGTTTAAGCTGCTTTCTCTGAAAGGCAAGTTTATTCTGAGACAAAGAGTCATCTTTTGTCACTATACTGCTCACCCTCCTCCACCTTTGATATTCAACTGGAGAAATCCAAAGCAATTCCCATCCTTCCTCATAGTTAGTACTGTACTAACTTGGGAGAAAATATATGAAATTTGCTAGGATTCCTTCAAAACCTCAACACATACTGTTTTACTCATCTATCTGGAGGTTTACCAGTACCTTGGGGTAAAACATTAAAACAAAAAAACCCAAAAAACCCACCTCCCCCCCMAAAAAAAATTAGTAAGCAGTTTTTGCTTTTCAGGGTCCCTAGATACAAAGATTAAACAAAGTACAGTGATTGTCTTTCTCCCAAATACTAGTTGGAGAACACAAACAAGCCTTTTAGTCCAAGGAGAAGGAAARTATACCTCTCTCATGTAAAATGAAAAGCAGAAACATTCTTTGCTTCCTGTTGAGCATAAGAAGTGGGGGGGATAAAGCTGGAGCCTTGAAATGTGACAGGTTGCTATCTGCAGAGTGGGGGCAATTTGGATTTTTCAGGTCTTTCGTTTTCTCTGTAATGACATGAATAGTAACACCCACCTGTTTCCAAAACACACTTAAAGAGGTAATAATATAAAGTACTACTGAATCTCCTCCTCTGAGTTACCAAGAGTAGGGGTGATACAGGACGGAGGCAAGGGGGGAAACCAAGCTGAAGACAAATATTTCCCTTTCTCAACAGTTAACGTTTGCTGAAAACCACCAATGAACACCATGTTAGAGAAGTAAAATTAACTTCTATAAAAAAAAAATGCAGGGATAATATTTCATTTGCATCTTTGTATCAACTGTCAACTGTAGTGACTTTCTAGTTAAAATAGAAATGAAGATCAAGGGGAAAAAAATGAGAAAGAAAGAAAAGCAGAAAGCAAGAGCTTGGTGCAAGATGCCTGGAATGTGTCCTGTTCCCTCTTGCTTACAGAAGACAATCAGGTCCCAGCACACCTCAATGGCTCCTTCCTAGTTTGATGTATCGTAGGCATATATCCTTATTTTAACCTGGAACTTATATTCAGCCCCCTTTCATTCCTTTTAAAAGGAGAAAAATTTTGACCAGTATAGAATGAGTTTTGTATTTCCTCAAAGTTACTGCCTGATAGTACTTTAGAGGAAGGGTCTGATTGGAGGAAAAAAAAAAAAAGTTAAGATTTTAGGAAAAGGGGAAAGTACAACATCCCTAAAAAATGAAACAAAGAAACCTGACAGAAAAAAATAAAAACCAAAACCAAAAAACCCCGACAGGCCCAAGATCTTCCACATTTCCTCCCTTGCAACATCTCCTGCTGCCAGCAGGGCAGAGCGAGAACAGGGAATCACACTGGTTACAGCATTACTTTGTTGGAGAAGGAAGAGGCCAGGGGTCCTTCCATCACTACTACAGAAGCCAACCCCAAAATAACACCCCAACATTCCGCATGTTATTATCTGTACTGATGGAAGTTTTATTTCAAATGTAGTTATACTCTTTAATAGATGGGATAAAATAAAGATCGTTTCCTCCCCACTCCCCAAGCCCCCAGCCAAATGAAGTGGCCTTTGGTTGTGTTTCTTTCTTAAATACAAATAGCTTGGAGAAGCAAGTAAGTGCTGTAGGAGGAGGGACTGGATGGAATAGTAAAATGTAAGCAGAGATGACTTTTTAATTTGGAAGGGAGGCCCTTTATCATAATAAAAAAAAATAAATCAAAGGAGGGAAAACAAATAAAAACAGCAATAAACCAAACTCCTACTTGCAATGCTCTCTAGACTGTTCAAAATGCTTCTTTCCCTTGGTTTCCATCAGTACCTGGGAGGGAAGAATGGGCGTTTTGGTGCAAAGAACGGAGGGCCCCTAGCGAAAGGTGGCCTGGGTCTCTTTAAACTGTGGAATGGGTCTCTGCCGAGAAAAGGTTCCCTAGGCCGAAAGTCTGGCCGGGGACTCCGTAAAATCATACCACTCCGGTTGATGGTGTCTCTGTGTGAGGGACCCAAGGGGGGGCCACCGCCGCTGTTGCCGCCTCCCCCACCTCCTCCATGAGCTGGGCCCAGGTGCTCCAGAGAGTGGGCGGGTAGGCTCAGGCTCTCCCGCACACGGCTCAGGCCAGGGCCGTTGAGGTCCCGTTGGGTGGGGCCCCCATGGTCCCTGGGTCCTGCGAGCACCCCAAAATGCTCAGCCAGGGTCCCTTGAAGGAGGGAGCTATGGTCCTTGGGAAACACTGCCACAGCCCCGGCCACTGCGTGCTCTGCCAGTGGAGGGGTGGGGAAGGGGACAACTCCAGAGTGGTCGACAGGGGGCGGAGGAGGGGGCGGAGTAGAGAAGGGGACCCCACTCCCACCACTGCTGCCATGTTCCCCGGGGGGCGGAGGGGGGGGCGGGGCAGGGAAGGGGACTCCGCTGTGCTCCCCAGGAGGAGGCGGGGGGGCAGCGTGGGCCAGGGCTGCCTCCTTCGTGAAGGGATTCGTGAGGTCCACAGAGGGCAGATGAGCGGCCGCATCTCGAGGGAAGATACCACTGTGGTCCTTAGGAGGGGCAGGTGGGGCGGATGGCGGCCCCACTGGCTCTCTCTGGAAGGGTGTCCCATGTTCCAAGGGGGACGGGGGGAGATGATGCTCAAATGTTGAGTTGAAGCTGTTGGAACGAAAGTTGCCGACACTCTCCTGAAACTGGGGTGCCCGCTCCTGGTATGGTGTTGTTTTAAAGCCAGTGAGGCCTCCGCTGCCCCCACCCCCAAGGGAGGCCAAATCAGAGGCACTGGAAGGGCCATTGTCAAAAGAGCTGCCCGATGTGCTCAGGTCGAACCAGCCCCCCCTCGAGGCCTCGCGCCCGTGTCCTCTACTCCCCTTCCCGGGAACGCGGATGGACTCGACGGTCTGTATGGGCTCCCCCGACACCCTTCTATTCGCTGCGTTGCGGTAACCCAGAGTTTCTATCGGGGCCCCTTTCTCTTCCGTGCTATCAGGCAAGTCTAGGCAGGAGGAGGACACGCGGGTCTCGATGCGGTAGTGCTCTTCTTGCTGCTGCTGCTCAGCGGTCGTCAAGCTGGGCTGGGTGAGGCCAGAGAGACTGACACCATCATTTGAAGTGCCCTTGGTGGGGGTCTGGCCAAAATGCTTGTCATCTGAGGGCTTGCGTGAGGCGTTTTTAAGCATATTCTTAAACTCAATCGTCGACGTGGTGGAAATGGTGGAGGCCAGGACTTTCTCCACGCCTGACGTGGGTGGGTGGCCCGTGGGAGCAGCGAGGGTATTCTGCGGAGAGAAAAGGGAACGATGTGGGACTGGGTGAGGAGAGTCTGGGTACTGCTTCTGTGGCAAACTGAGATGCCCAGTGGTAGACTGAGACAAGCTATTGTGGTTGGAGTCGGGGGTGAAAAATGAATCATTCTTACTCGGTGATGGTGACCGGTCAGACCCAGGTTCGTTCCCTCTTATGCTGAAGGCACCAAAGAGCCCAGGGGAAGAAGCCAGACGGTCACAGTTCTCACTAGAGTCCAGGAGGGCTCTTACAGATGGAGGGAAGGCTGACTTTACCCCAAATTCTTGAGCCCTGTGGCTATAACTGGACAGGATTGGCTGGTACTCCGGGGCATCAGACACCTTGCTGGACTTCAGGATAGATTTGGCTGGTTTCTTCTCCAGGTTCATCATAGCAGAAGGTGGAGGCCCTGAGTACTCAAAATCTCGGTAATCTTCATCTTCATGGAAAGAAGTATCTGGATAGAACTTTTCCTGTGAAGAGTCCATCAGGGAAGACGGTCTCTCCATTCCATCAGAAGGTTGCTTATAGGGAGATTCACTGCCCAGGCCAAAGGGTCGATATGTAGATACAGAATTGGAGAGCTCCCGGGGGTAGTTTTCATCTCTCCCGGCGGGTGGTGATCTTGTACTGCTGGGTGTTGAAGAACCCGGGCTAATGATCTTAGAAAGCAGGGACATAGTATCTACACTGCTGGACGTAGGCTTGTCCATCATCTCATCCTGGGTGGGTGTTCCACTCCGTTCATCCCGTACAGGGGTTCCATCAATGTTGTCGATTGAAGTGCTAGTAGGGCCACGCTGGAAGTCTGAGGGATGGCTCTCGGATGGGGCACTGGACCCCAAACTGCTCAGGATTGGGATATTTAAGTTTAAGCCACTGAAACCAGGATTACCTTTTAAGAAGTTGTGGATCTTCATTTCCAGGCTTGGGGAGGTGGACTCTGACTCCAGTTTTGGCTTGGAGATCTCTGAAGATTGGCACATGGCAACTTCGGTAGGCGGGGCAGCAGGGCTAGTACTGTGGGTACCTGCAAACCCTAAAGAGTTGGATGGCAGTTTAAACGTAGTGCTTGGAAGCCCTGGACTTTGCCCAATTGATGTCTTGCTGGCTGAAGTKGAAGAGACTTCAGAAGCTGATGAATTAGGAGAATAGTTGAAGCTTTTGGGAATAAAAGATTGGGTATTAGAGGACACATTTCTTCCTTTTATGGTAGAGACTGTGGTGTTGGCAGGGGAAGCTGATGTGCTCTGAGATGCAGCTTCACTGGATGGAACTGGGTTCCCAGTAACACTCTGAAGTAAAGATGACAGGCCTGTAAAAACAAAGATTAGAGGGGTTAAAAAGAAAAACTCCCTGCCATCTAATAAAAACAATGTAGGCTTATGAGATATCCTCACTCATTCTGGTGGGAACCAGATGGGTTTTAAAATATGAAGCCAAAGGGAATCCAGACCAAACAAGTACTGGCTCAAGGTCATAAAAAACACTGGACTTATTTATCAATCCAAAAGAGAAAAATCACTGAAATGTTTCCCGTGTAGTTCAGAAACGCATCCAAAACAGCACAGTAAAAGGCAACAGGAAGGGAGAGATTCTCATGTCAGAATCACTCATGGTTGAAACAAGGCAAAGCAGGAAAAGAAAGGAAGCAAAATTATTCTTAAAACAACAACTTAAGCCAGTATTTATTAATGTTTGATCTGTGGAAATGGTTCTCAAAATGCAAACAGATATCCTACCCTACCTTTCCATTCCCAGCTCCACAATCATCTCTAAGGTTAACAGTACACACTGTGACTCCTAAGAGGGAGACAACATGTGCAAACCCGAGAAATCCATTAGAATGGGGAGTACGTTGTTCCAAGAAGTATCTCTTGCTAGACTGGTTGTTACCTTTTAGAAAACAACACTTTTAACTATCAAATCTGATTGTAAAATGTAGCAATAAAAATGAGATAAACACAAAGACTTAAAAGCCAGACAAACAGGGGTACTGATCCTTTCACAAGAAAACAAAATTTCTATGCTATACCTTGGAAAAACCAAGGATTACTGATTAATTAAAACTGATAATGATGAGATTCAACCCTATTCAATGACAGACAAAACCTCCTCAGAAGTACTGAGAAAGAGCTCTTTGGGACAAAGGTTGAAGGTTCATGAAAGCAAACTACTCCTGTAGAAAATGTTTTAAAAAAATATTTGACAAATGTGGCTCAGTGACATATGAAGTCCTCGCACATATGAAGCCCTGTGTTTGATCCCAGCACCACATAAAAATAAATAAATAAAATAAAGCTACTGTGTCCGTCTACAACTAAAAAAATATTTAAAAAATATTTGACAAAGAGGTAACAGAAGAGCAGATAAATTTAACCATGTTTTGGAAAATTTAATGAATTTCTGGTCATAAATGAAAACTTTACTTCATGCAAGTATATAAATTTTTCTTTTTGGTACTGAGGTTCGAAACCAGGGCTTCTTGTATGCAAGAGAAGCACTCTACAAYTGAGATACATTTCCAGCCCCAAATGTATAGATTTTAGTTAATAAATTGTACTAAAACTTATCCTTAGCAATGATATTGTAAAAGAGTATTTCATAATTTTATATGGTAACTTTGGTTAATTAATATATCTTCAACATATCAATTTTAACCCATATTTGCTGAGATTTACGGTGTGAATAATTTTAGGGCCACTCCAGTATTACTTTTTATTTATTTATTTATTTTTTGTGTGGGAAGAACTGGGAAATGAACCCAAGGGTGTTCAAACACTGAGCCATATCCCCAGACCTTTTTATTTTTTATTTTGAGACAGGTCTTGCTAAGTTGCTTAGGGCCTCAATAAGTTGCTGAGGCTAGTCTTGAACTTGTGATTCTCTTGTCTCAGCCTCTTTAGCTGCTCAGATTTTAGGCATAAGCCACATGCCTGGCAAAATTCTAATGTTTCCTTTTTTTTTTTTTTTAATTTTTCTGTAATCTAATATCAATGTTAGATAATATCCAAACAATTGATATTTAACTTCAGTTATCCTGGGGAGGTGGGAGGGAAAGCATGTTTCATTCTGAAAAGTTTCCAGGCTATACAATTTTTCCTTTCCTAACAGTTTAATTTAATTTTAATTCCTAGCAGTCATTGTTGTCACCTAGCCCAGAAGACCTCAAGTACTACAATGTGATACGTAATAATGTCATGTAACTTTTAAAAGATATTTCAGCATATCTTTAAGATACTGTGGGATAAATTCTTCAAAAGATCATCTTGTTAAGATAGATACCACCCAGATTTCTGGAATAAATAAAATTGTCTTTCACCATTAAACATTATTTTGTGTCGAAAATCTGTAAATAAGGTTACTATGGACCCTTATCACAGAACCAAGTTTTAAGAGATTTCTTGGAGACATTTTTATTTATCTATTTTTATGTGGTGCTGAGGATCGAACCCAGGGCCTTGCACAWGCTAGGCAAGTGTCTACCGCTGAGCCACAACCCCAGCCCTCTTGGAGACATTTAATAAACACATCTATTTATGCTGCTGGACACAGTCCTTTGAAAGTTATAGAATTTGACTTTCTATAAGTAAATAAAAGTTGATGAACCACCTTGTTAGTCCACAAAAATTGTTTTTTTGGGGGTTCTCATTTCTTATTCTGTCAAAACATGCTTAATGGCCTGGATGTAGCTCAGTGGCAAAGAGTCTGCCTTGCATTTGCAAAGCCCTGGGTTCGACCCCCAGTTCCAAAAATGATAAAAAAAAAAAATTTAAAAAACAAACAAACAAACAACAACAAAAAACCCAAAACATGCTTAGTTCCATGCAACTTTTTCCAGATGACAAAGCCCAAGTCCATACGATACTGTCTCAGAAATCTAACCGAAGGAAAAGCTTTAAGGTGTAGTTTCATATGTTAATCATACAAATGAGTTCAAGATTTTTGTTGTTACTATAAGATAGCAATAGGAGAGGGATTGAAAAGGAGAAATCATAAGCATGTCAATCCTTCAAATGAACTGTTCCTAAAATTAGTGGTTCAAGATGTGCCATATTATCATCAACTACTGATTGCTGGTCTCAATATATGGAAGCTATGTATCTATGTATTATTACTTTATAGTACTTAGTTCTGTGTAACGAAATTTTCTATATCTTATAACAAAATTCACCATAATACAGTACTTGACTGATCACTTACAAAACAGCTTAGGAAACAGAAAATAAAGAYTACTATACTCACACAGAGCACGATTTCTCAAGCTCAGCACTTTTGACATTGTGGGATGAATAATTCTTTGCTGTTGGGGGTTTTCCGATGGATTATACAATGTTTAGCAACATCCACATGGGTCTGACCCATTAGTATCCCCTTGCCTAGTCGTGACAACCACAAATGTCTCTATTCCTTGATACATGTCCCCTAGAGGCCCCTGGTTGAGATTACTGACTTTGAGTATATCACTACAATGAAGATACTGTTATGGTATTTATAATTTATTGCATAATTATACTGAGGTATTTAAAAAGGGTTGTGTTGGTATCTGGAAAAAAAAGAGTAGAGATCAGATTGACCTTAAAAAAAAAAAAAAAAAAAAAAGTTAAAAACAGGCAGTTTTACATGCAAAACACACTGGCAAAGCTGGACAGAGGGTCAACTGAGGCAGAGATCATATATATTCATGAAAACAAAAAGATGAGAATCAGGAACTAATTGTATTATACATTTTATGCCTTTGGATTCCTCAGAAATGGAATACAGGATTAAGCCAGGGACAAACACAACTCAAGTCCCTCTTGCAGATAACAGTTTACCTTGTAGTGCAGGGGCTGACTGTGTCTGGGTTTTGGAAAGAGCAGATAGAATGCTCTCTGGGGTGATCTCCACCTTGGAGAGGATATTTGCCAGAGGGTTATGAGATGTTGTTGTGGCAGGTGCAGGTGTTTTCAGGCCACTGGTGAGGTTGCTGGGACTGGTAGGAGTTCCTGGAGAAGGTCTTGATGCAGGACTGACCCCTGGTGGCAGAAAGATGAACTCAAGAAAACGCAATTCAAAAATGACCTTTCAATTCACTACATTTTCCACTCACTTCAATGAGTCTGATGTTTAATAGAAATTCTTCTTGTCTGATCCACAAATGGTCCCTTATCACGGAATGTACAAAGAGAAAAAAAATCTGAAAATTAAGATACGCTACTTCTATTTGGAACATCCTTAAAACAAACAAGTATAAAGTTATTTTCTTATATTCACTAGTTTTAAGAACTCCAACAAAGAGAGACTAGGCAAACTGCTTTTTTTCCACTACCAAATAATTCTTATACTGAAGAGCCCATTAGTACTCAGTAAGCACTGCTGGATGACGGGTGATCAGACCCTCTTCGATCGCAGGACTCTGCTACGGCATACTTCCGTGTCTTGCTTTTGAAATAATGATGAGTTATGTTTTTTACATTTCAAAATGGTTGATTTTAACATATAAAATGGTATATAAAGAGAAAAACATTTGACTATTTAAAAGATGATAAAAAAAACTATGAACAGATTATTTCACAAAGAAACAGAAATAAGCAAATAGAAGAAAGTTTTAACCACATCTTTAATCAATGAAAAACATTAAAACAATTTGTAAAGGTTGAATGTGACACAGATTAAATGAAATAAAACAGTAGATAAGGTGAGGAACAGAAATTTTCATATATTAGGTACATAAAATAGTATATATTCTTGGATATCAATTTTGTTATAACATATGAAAAGCCTTTTAAAAACATGCTAATTGTTTTTTTGTGGGGGGAGGGTCTTTATCCAACTCCCCCGCCCCGCCCCCTGGTACTGGGGAGTTGATACATGACCTTGCACATGCTATGCAAGCACTCAACCACTAAGCTACATCCAGCCCAAGAGTCTCCATCTTTTAGAAGTATGTATATATTTATGATGAAATTAAATGTTTGGACTGGGTGTAGTGGCACATGCCTGTAATCTCAGTAATGTGGGAGGCTAAGGCAGGAGGATTGTAAGTTCAAGGCCAGTTTCACCAATTTATTAAGGCCCTAAGCAACTTACTGAGGCCCTATATCAAAATACAAAAAAGCGTTAGGGATATAGCTCAGTGGTAAAGCACGAGAGTAAAATCCTTAGTATAGGGGGAAAAAAAAAGAAAAAAAAAAGTTTAAATTGGAAATTTCTTCAAAATAATCCAGAGTGAATATGGTATAGATTTGTCAGGGTTACTCTAGTATAACTGAGTGATGAGTACATGGGATATTCTACTTGCATACATTTTCATTTAGTTTTTCTTGTGTATATGTGTGTGGTGCTGGGGATTGAACCCAGCACTTGGCCGTGAGACAAGTTATATCCCCAGCCCTTTTATTTTTTAAAATCAATCAATTAATTTTTTTKGGGGGGGTACTGGGGATTAAATTCAGGGACACTCAGCTGCTGAGCCACATCCCCAGCCCAATTTTGTATTTTATTTAGAGACAGCCTCTCACCGAGTTGCTCAGCGCCTCACTGTTGCTGAGCCTGGCTTTGAACTTATGATCCTCCTGCCTCAGCCTCCAGAGCCACTGGATTACAGGCATGAGCCACCATGTTTGGTTATTTCAATTATTAAAATAATTTTTAATCTCTCAAACACTCACATACACATATACTTGTAAGAATAAATAAATATAAGTGATTTCTTTTGGGGTAATATGATGACAGATATTTATTTTATTCACTGTGCTAATTTTCTAATTTTTCTACATTTTCACTGCATTTTTTGTTTTAAATAATTTTAATATTTATTTTTTAGTTTTTGGCGGGCACAACATYTTTGTTTGTATGTGGTGCTGAGGATCGAACCCGGGCTGCACGCATGCCAGGCGAGCGCGCTACTGCTTGAGCCACATCCCCAGCCCCCTTCACTGCATTTTTTAAATAAAATTCAACAACAACAAAACAGACTAATGGCTCAATTTTAAAATCTAGAAATCGGCTTTTTATCTTCTTCACTAGGCTTACTTACCAGTATTTTTCATGACTGATGTTAGGCTGCTAAGGATGGAACTAATCTTTGCCAGATCCACGTTAGCCAGGTTGGGCAAAGCCAAAGCTGGGGACGGGGACAGAAGAGAAGTATTCACAGGCTTTGGAAGAGGTGGGGTTGCTGTCATGGTCACAGGCACTGGGGTACAGGAAGAAGCCTTTGGGAGAGTTTCTGTTGGCTTTGTAGGTACAGAAGTAGAGACAGCTGACTTCTCCACAGGTTTTTCCTTCCTGTCCTCCACTGTTTCAACAAAGAGAAGATATGATATTACATCTTCCTACTTTTTAGGCTTTGTTCATAAATATGAAATAATATGTCCTAATATTTTCTAATTTGAGGGTTTAAAAGCACTATAATTCTAGAGAAAACAACCAGTCACTTTGTGTTTTTTATTTTAAAGTCATAGTCTTCATAAATTATTATTTTTGATATTTATTATCATTCCCACCTTCTATATCTACTTAAAAGGAATTTCTCAATTATCCCCTTTCTTGCTTATTTATGATTTTTTTTTTTTTTATGGTGCTGGGGATTGAACCCAGGGCCTTGCTTGTGCATGCAGGGCAAGCTGTCTACCAACAGAGCTACATCCCCAGCCCCCTTATGATTCTTTTGGATCTTCTGAAAATCTGTGTATTCAATGTATACATTTCTGAAACAGGAGGGCGAGAGGCTGGGGAGTGACATGAGGATTCTCAGGAAAGTGGAAAGAAAAGGAAATGGCAAAAAATAAAAAAAATGAAAGGCTACTACTGTTGCAGCCACCTGCCCCCAAATAAAGATAATTAAAATTTGAACATTTCTGGAAAACACTTATTTGATACACATTTGCATTGTCCCTTGGAAATGGTATTTGTCATCTTTCCTTTTTCATTAACCTGAGAATTTCTTAGTGACAAAAGCTCAAGAGCTCTATAAGTATTTTGTTGTATTTTCTAAGCAATTTCTTTTCTTTTTTCTTCTTCTTCTTTTTTGGTACTAGGGTGCAATTAGGCTCTAATTTGAAACTGCAAAGTTTTACTTCTTGATAATTGCAGCTTTGGGATTCTGGATGGTCAAAAGTGACAGAGAGGAAAGAATTCTGGTATGAATGCCCCTTCCTCTAGAGCAGTGCTGGCCAAGAGACATATAATTCAAGACACATATTTAAGTTTAAGCTTTCTACCAGTCATGTGGAAAAAAAAAAAAAAGAAGAAATAGATACATTTTGATAATGTGTATTTACCTTGACATATCCTAAACATTTTAATTTCATTGTTATAAAAATAAAAATCATTAATGTGATGATATTTTTATTTGAGGAGATACTGTTGAGAATCCAGTGAATACTTTCTAATTATATAACATCCCAAGTTGCGCAAACTATATTTCAATTGCTTAACAGTCACATTTTAGCTAGCTGCTGCTATACTGAAGTCTTGATCTTCAGCAGTGATTCTTAACCCATGTAGCATACCATATAGAGATGAATATTACCTTAGTGTTCTAATAAGTACTAAGCTATCTTTTAATAACTACCCATAACTGACTGATTAATATTAATGGGCAAGGAAAACACAGAATAAATTATCTACTAATTACATAAGGACATACCAATGATTTTTGACCCATCATCTTCTACATCTGAGAGTTCCATGTCTTCCACATCACGATTATCAGTCACAGGTTCAGGGGTGGTAGCAGATTTCTCACTCTCCATTGTTGGTGACTGGGATTCCTCACCTCCCATTCCCTGAAATGGGGACTCCGAACCAGTTGGGGAGGGAGCATCCATACTTGGGGAAGGGACTGGTGATTCTTCAGGATCAGGAAGGGTTGACTTCAACTGATCCAATTTCTTCTTTAAATTGTTTACTCGGTTAGCAAAGGTTTTGTATGCCTAAAAGAGAAAAAGGAATTTAATTCCCTGGGAAAAGGACCAAGAAGTTACCATTCCAACCCTGATCAGATTTACTCATCATTACAACATCACTGGCTCAAAACATGAAAATAACAATCTGTCAAGCACGAAATATTTTTTAATT